CCGTGGTAGATAAAATAATTTATAACATTTCTGACAAAAAAAATATGAAAATCTGTGATTAATCTCAAATTTTCCAGTAAAAGCAAGGACATTTTAGAGTTTGAAAAATTTAAAATTTTCTAAAAAAAAAAAAAAGATTTTTCTGAGGCCCAAAAATAAAAAAAAAATTATGAATTTTTTTTTTTTTTTTTTTTTTTTATGAAATTTTCTAGAATAAAAAACCTGGAAATTTCCTAGTTTGAAAAATCGAAAAATTTCCAATGTTGCAAAGTCAGATTAAAGTCAGAAATTGTATTAAAAGAAAAAAAACTGAAATTCCTTTAAAGTTGTAACAGTGAAAAATTTTCCAATTCTGGAAATTTTCAGAACTTCCGAGTTTTTTTGTTTTGCTTTGTTTTTTAGAGAAAATTTGCTGTAAAATGATTAAATTTTTTTTTTTATTAATCTCAGAAATTTCCTAGAAAAATAAAGAGATTACCGAGTTTGAACAGTAAAAATTTTCTGGACAACAATAAAATTTTTAGATTATTTTTAGGTGGAAAAAAACGTGGAAATTTCTGAGTTTGAAAAGTCAAAAAATTGAAATAAAAAACAAGAACGTTTTAAGATTAGTTTCAGAATTTTTCTAGAAAGAAGACATTTATTTTCTGAAAAAAAGTTTAGAGATTTTTGAAATTTTATAAACTTGGAAAAAGTCACAAATTTCCCCTTTTTGGAAATTTCTGGGTTTCAAAAGTGTTAAATTTTCTACTTTTCAAACTCAACTTCCTTGTTTTTTCTAGAAATTTTCTGAACTTAATCTAAAAATTTCAGAGTTTTTTGACGTAAATCAACTCCTTTTCTCCTCTTGTACCTCTAACGGCCCTGGTACGCCGCCATGTGTTTCTGCTAAAGCAGCAGCGTTCGTTTCTTCTTCAGCTCCTGCTGCCGGCTGAGACAGCCGCCTGCTGCCTAAACACTTCCAAACACGGCGCAATATGCATGACTGCGGCTGCACGGGTGTCACTTACGGCCAGAAAAAGTCGGTGAAATGACTTGTAAATGGAGATAGCACATTATGGAGGGCGATCTCTGAGGTTACATGCTCCGCTGCTCCTGTTGGCCTTTTGCTGATTTAAATCGAACAGTCAATCTTTTGTGTCCACTCATGCTAAAAAGACAAAATCCTTTATTTTGTCGTCCCATCTTCAGCACCAACAAGAGTGGAGAAAATCTCCTTTTAAAGTAAATATCTCATTACTTTTTTTAAAGAATCTGCATATTAGTCTGGACGTCATTTCATGCTTGACCACCGTGTCGCCACAGATGTAAGCAGAAATGACAGAAAGATGTGTTAGAAAAGCAAAAAATAATGGCTTGTTTTTGTTTCATTTGAAGTGCTGATGTTTGAAGCACCTTCAATCTTTTCACACCTTCAACAAATGCTGCAGATGCAAGAAAAGCTTTTTACATCTGTTCATTTTGCAAATGCACATAAATAACTTTGTTTAAAAAGTTAATTATAAGAAACACACAGTTATAATAAAAATGCTCTCAGACCAAACTTCTCTACTCTGGAAGGAAACCCAAAATGTTCAAAGGCAACGCTGCCAAATACTGAGAAAAAGTAAGTACATTTCTGATTTATAACATATACGTTCATTGTTTTGATATTTAGTAAAACAAAAGTAATTTAGCTTGTTTCAAGTGAATAATTCCTTAATATTGATGGAAAAAGTACGAGTTCCACTGGCATTTATTTTACCTAAACTTTAAGAATTATTGACTCCAATCTTGCTGAAAAGTTATTTGTAAGTTAGTTTTGTCTTATTTTAACTGTATTTAGATATTTGCAATAGAAAATTAGACCAAAAGTACTTGGTAGATTTAGTGTTTTTGAAGTAAACAAGAGACATTTTGTCTAATTTAACTACAAAGTAGTTTGTACACTGTTGCCTTGCAGCAAAGTCTTTCTACATCCAGATTGATGGTTCTCCATGTGCATTACTGAGTTCTCCAAAGGTACTCCAGCTTCCTCCCCAAAAAACTTGCTGCAGTTATGAGTTTATGCCATCAGGTGACAGAATTGAACTGTTAAGTGGGATTAGGAGGTAAACGTGTCAAAATAATTCATGAAATGTTTTCTATCAATTCTAATTTATTTGAAATATACTTGTGTATGCAGTTTTTGGCAGTATACGGTTTAATCCAATGTGGAGGGTTTTGTCTCAAAGTTTTCATGTGTCATTATACACAAATATCCGTTCAAACAAAAACGTGACCAGCTTTTTATCTACTGCTAATATTAGCTAGCTAGAGCTAACGCCATTAGCAAGAGCTGGGTTTGACGTCAAGCTCGAGGTAGCGGGACAATTTCAACATGGCGACATCGCTCATAAACACTGCTTGCAGTACCTCCTGAAAACAATTTAAGATTTAATTTCTATTATCAAACACTACTTTTTAACTATTTTTTCAGTTTGTAGTCGTTTGATTTTATGGAAACTCTTACTTGCGTGTCTTGTAAAATAAACAAGACAAACTGTTAATGTGAGGAGCGGCCATATTGAAACGCAAAGTCAGCCTTACTAGTAATAACTGGGAAGAGTCGGGAGTTCCTCCCAGTTTCCCAGTGGGAAATCCGACTTCAGAGGGAGGTCGAGTTGATTTTTTTCCCACTCAGAAGTTGGAATTTCCCAGTTTCCAGAACAACTAGAACGCAGCATTACACCAGTAGGGAGAGCTAACACAATTAGCAGGAAGGAGCTAATGCAAACTCAAAACAAATTGACAGATATTTTTAAAATAACAGAGCATCTTAAAGTCTTTGTAAAACATCACTCTAATATATTTGAGGAAATATTCTGATCCCAGTGCTTACCGTAAACAGTTTGCGTTAGAAACCAGAGCTGGTTGCCGCATCGGCTCTTATTCTGGGTTGACATTTCCAAGTAGCAGCCAGCCGAACAAACACACCGGCTTTTTCGACCGAATTTCTTCTCTTCGTCTGTTCAATCCTTCTCGTTTTCATTTATTCTTACATTGCCTTCTATTTCAATATACTCAGGTTTAAACTGAAAGGGGTAAATGTCACTCAACGCGCGAAAATTACGGTTCTGTCTACGTGCTACCTAGCATAACTCATCTACCCAGAATGCATTGCAGCATAAACAACATTGCGACGTCCGTGTGACGAGACATATTTTAACTACATGAAAAACAAATGCTCTACAGCATTTTGACTGTTGTTTTTACATTACATTTTTTTTCTCTTATTAATCAAAAGTCTCTTCTTCTTCTTCTGCTCCTTCTTCTTCTTCTTCTTCTTCTTCTTCTTCTTCTTCTTCTTCCTCTTCTAGATTTTAATGGCGACTAGCAAATAACATGGAACTTCTACTGCTTTTCACACATCTTATGTGACTATAAAACAGTGTAGCGACCAAAAACAGAAAAAGTTTAATCTGATTTGAAATCTGTGACAAATTAATTCTGCTTTCCATTGTATTTGAAAAACACTGACTAATAATGACAACCTAATTTGTTGCCTTGAGCAGAAGAGAATATTTAAGCATCTGATGCTGTGAAAAATGAGCCATTTCTGAGCTGAATTTGATGGAAAGTGATTCAGCCTGATTCATCAGGCCATGATTAATTTAAACAACCTTAAAAAGAGAGGAACATGATTCTGTCAGCGAGGGGACAGAATGATCCCGACTAAAGCTTCGATACTGAAGCCGTCAGACACAATTAGTTGTTTTTCTCCCACAAAAAAATCTAACTAAGCATCAACCAAAATGCTCCCACTGGATTTAAACACCAGCAGGGATACAGCTTTAAATAAAAATCATATATGTATTGGATTAATGCATGTTTGTCATGTTTTCCCAACATCTGCATGTGCACTTGAGATGTGCATTTTCAAAAAGGCCAAAAGGTCGTTTCCATATGCACTTTGTGATGCACCGCTGGGAGAAAAGGTTGGAGGGAAATTAATTCCCACACACTTCTTCCAGCGCAGTTAATGAAAAAGGCTTCAGTGGTCGACCTTTAAAAGCACAATATTCACATATTTTAATGCCACAGTTATCCAGCATTTCATTCTTGTATGTTGGTACTGAAGGAACAGAATGGGGAAGTATTTTTTACATAACTTTTTGCAGTTTGATTTCATTTTTTTATCATAACAATGACAATATTACAAAAGAGAATCAGAAAGAAAAAATCTGACTTTTTTTCTCAGAATAAGAATCATTTAGATTGTTCTTGCAGACAAATCTAGTCTTAAAACTCAAATATAAGAAATAAATTTGTGACAAGCTTCCAGTGTAGATAAAGAGCCTGTTTACCAATCTCATAACAAGAAGGAGACAGTTATGGGATTAATGGGATTATAACTTGTTAGTATATTAAGCAGATGCTAACAACATATTTGACATGCACCTAAGAATACATTGGTTTTGAGATAGATGGACACAGAATTAGAAATTTGAGAAAAAAATTCAATATTCTGAGATTAAGTGCCAACGTTGCATGATTTCGTAAATAATGACAATTTAATGCAATGTTGGCATTTTTAATGGACTTTCAATGCATCTTTTAGAGCAACTTTGGATTAAAAGTGTCATTATTTACTGAATGACACTTCATGACAACTGTCATAGACATTCATAAAGACTCGTTCATGTTTATGACAGATGTTATGTCATGTTTATGACAGTGTCATGTCAGTCTTATGCACACCCCTTCAAATAAAGTGTCACCGAATTTTGAGAAAAAAGTTAAAACTTTGAGATTAAAATCTGAATTCTGAGATTGAAGTCAGAATTTTGTGATAAAACTCCGAACTTTTAGATTAGAGTCAGAATAATGGGAGGCCAAAATCAGAATTCTGAGAAAATGTCAATTTTGAGGAAAAAAAAAAAAAATCTAAATTTCATTTCTTTTCTTCAGTGGCCTTTATCCTCTTCCATAAAATAAATACAAGAACTGAATCAGCTGGATAAATATTTTTAATCTCAGTTTTATGTCCGAGAAAAAAAAAAAACAATGCTGAGCTTCAGTGGCACAAAAATATAAATCTTCTCATGAACCCAAACATTATTCACCAATTAACAGTAATTATATTAAGTTGCTGCAGCCATTTCTGCGGTAAAAACACCCTCGTTAGTCTCTTTAGTCCGTGGAGGAGGAAGTGCGAGTCGAAACATGAATGCTAAAATAAAATCCAAGCCTCAGCCGGGTTCTTCTGACACCTCCGATTCACCGGAGCATGAGAGTGACGGAGGCGACCAGAGGCAGCAGGAGGTCAGAGCGCACACGGCCGCCTCCCGAGGTGAGCGTCGCCCCATACTGATCCAGGAGCTGCAGGGCCACGCCGTTGGTCCACCCAAAGCCCAGCTGCAGCAGGAGGAGAGGAGGGATGAGGGGAGAGACGCAGCAGCAGCAGCAGCGTTAGTGTTGCTTCTATTTTTATAAAGAGCATCAGACAGACAGGCAGCCAGAGACGTGCTGCTCAGTCACAAACGCCTCAAACGCGACTTGTTTTCATTAACTAGCTACAGGGAAAAGAAGATGGCGCCACGTTTAGTTATTATTAAATATTTCAGAATATTATAAAGACCTGGATCGGCGCTTGTGTTCCCAGGGCCTTGATTTTTGAAAAAGAAAAACAAAGCGATGGTATTAGCCACTGAAAAATTCAAAATTGCAGCCATTTTTCAAAATGGCCACTATGGTTGTCATGGAGGATGTTTCTGCACTAAATTTGAATACCTTTAACTGAGCCCACAGAAATCATATTTACTGATCAATTTACATTTTTCAAGATGGCCACCATGGGACATGGAAAATGTATTTTAGCACTAAATTTGCCATCGTAGATGAATTCATTTGGTGCTAAATCTTTCATAATTGGGCACCAAATTAGCAATTATATTATAATTTTTTAACTTTTCAAGATGGCCACCATGGTTGTTATGGAAAATGTATTTTTGCACTAAATTTGCCAATATTTATCACAAATTAATACTTCTGGTGTCAAATAATTCATAATTGGGCCCATAGACTTGACTTTTACTGATCATTTTTAATTTTTTCAAAATGGCCACCACCACAGTTGTTATGGAAAATTTACTTCTGAAGGTAACAGATACCCAATGGTGCTGTAAAATAATAAAAGTGCCCGGAAAATAAATAATACTCCCCCTTTAAATAAAATAATAAACATAAATCCAACCTCAGGTCTAACTCTTCAAAGTAAGACCTTCTCTTCAGTGTTTCTTAGTTCATTGACATTTTCAGTCATTTTGTTCTGGACTTAATGTATTAATTTATTAATGATCCAGTTTGTACGAATATTCAGCTGTCAGATTATTAGAGTCCTGTTTGTCTTTTGAAAACTTTGAAACAGAAACGTTCATGGTCAATTTAAAACTCATATAGCTGCAAAACAAGTCCAAACCATCACACCTCCACCACCATGCTTCACAGTTAGCATGTGGTACTGAGCATTGGAGCCAGGAGATGTATAATAATAATAATAATAATAATAATAATAATAATAATAATAATAATTTTGGGACACTCGAAGACGAGATTGTCCCAAAAGCTGCAATTCTTCCCCACCTTTCCCACCACATTTCGTCCTTCCACTCAATTTTCCTTTTAAAATGTTTTGATTTTACAACCAGCTTCTTCAGCAATGACATTTTAAGGCTTCCTTTCCTTTCAGAGTGTTTTCTAAACATCTGTCCTGTCAGCCATCTTCCCTATTTTTGTGTTTTTATTAGATTTTTATTTGAGTTATTTTCCTTCCCTTCCACCTTTACGCACTGCTTTGTGTTGGATCAATTCATAAAGCTCAAGTAAAATACAGTGAATTGTTGGAAACAGAAAGAGGGAGTCACCTGAACTTCGTACTCTCCACCTCCGCCTGGTTTTCCGTCTCCGTTCACGTCGTACTGTTGGGGCGGAGACGAATGTTACACGGTGCGTCATCTGAGCGCGATCTGAGCAGTGAAGCAGCACACTCACCTTTTCAAACATGGCTTCGTATTCCTGATAGGCCCGCCAGTTTGTTTTGATCCAGCGCTGCGCCAGATCAAACGCCAGCTTCTTTCCCTCCTCTGAAGACAGTTTGGACAAACCTGGAAAAGCAAAATCTCTCCTTTTTTTAACATAAAACACTATATTTTACCTTAATTCCTGGTTATTTTTACAACAATGTAGCACACAAAAACCTCAGAATACAAGACAGCAGGAGAGATTTAGTTTTTTATGGCCCAGTGGTGCTTTTTTTTTCTGATCCAATCTGTTACCTGATTTCAATGCAGGTGAGCATGTATTTCACTTCATGAACACCAAACTGAAAGGAAAAAAATCCCCCGAAGCAAGAAGAAAATAGAGAGAGCTGCTACACAGGCTCCATCAGAGCATCACTGAGGAAGATGCCAGATAAAAAAAATATGACAGGAAACGATCCCTCCAGCTGTGTGTCTGATGCGAATGTAATAAACACCTTTAAATGGAAACCAAGTGTGATGAATCAAGACCTAAAAGTGGGAGGTTTGGTCGTTTTTCTACCAAAAACAGCTTAAATATTTATTTTTCCTAATTTTTTTAGTACAAATCCAAAAGAAAATGAATCACATAATCTGAATTTGCTTCATGAAGTCCCCCCATGGTTTCAGGAAGTTCTTGTTTTTATTTAGTTTTATGTTTTTTTGTGCTTCCCACCTTCGATGAGCATGTGCTGCAGAGGCGGCCAGGCGTTGGGATAGTCCCACTGCTGCCCAGAGTCCCTCAGTGACGTCGGCACGCCGTTGGGGAAGTCCAGAGCGCCGCTCGCCTGTGCAGGAAGAAAACGAGAGGCGAAAAAGCGTTGCGGTGCGACAGTGCCATCTGCTGGCGCAACCGGGAATCGCCCAGAAAGAAACCGTTGCACTTTTCAAGCTGCAAAAAAAATCTAAACTTCTGATTTTAGTGTGAAAAAAACTGAGATCCAAATAGATGTTAAGAGTTAATGTGACCTTTAACCTCCATGAAAATAAAACCTGAACTCCTCTAACAAGGCTTTTTCTTCTTAAAACTTAATGATCAGCTTCTCATTTTCACATATCAAGATTATGAATGTTGTGAATGTACTGACTGGATC